TATTTTATTAATATTTTTCCATATTTTATATGTGCATTATGTTTTCTACTTTATGCATTTCTTTCAGCACCTTGGTGAGCCTTGGTTGAAATGTAAAATTGCATTATACATAAACCACCACGTTAACATTCTATCGACCCCTAAAACACACCACCCTGCCCAGAAGACAATAAAAGGGAAATTACCATCATCTCTGATGTTCACATGGCAAAACTGTTAATTGCTGTAATGAAGGCTGGTGATGAGATGATTAGGAACTGGAATCTCATCGCCGTTCATCAGTATCTTAATTGCCCCATGTCATCAAAGCTGTAATCACAGGTGGGTTGTGAAAAAAACTATCTAAATGTGTAACTTTTTTCAAAAACCTCAAATGTATACGACGCTCTTTCAGGACCATTGTAGATTAAAAAAAGAGAGAAATTTCCACCCAAAAACTCAGAAATGTTTAGATTAATCTTAGATATTTTCCAGAAAACATCTTGGAAATTTCTGATCTGGTAAAGTCACAAATTCAGCGGAAAAAAAAGAAGTTTTTTCTAGAAACCTTTCTGATTAATTTTGGCAGAAATGTACTTTTTTAAAACAGCCATAATCTGTGGTTTATAGTGTTAACCAGTTAAAGATACTTTTCCATTGATTTGTGACATTTAAAATAAAGAGTTTTCCGACCAGTAAATATTTTCCCTGCATCAGTTTTTCCCGTCATCATGCAGTCTCTTGTTTTACATGTTGGTAGGTCCAACAGCACATTTTTATGTGGGTTTAAACATGAAGCAACAACACATTGTTGAGAAGCATCAGCTATGTTTTTGTTACTGTCTCTGTTTGTTTGTTTTTTTTTTTTACATTAGGCTAGTCAATAACTAATGACTGACTAGCCCTGATGTCGTTCAATTTAAAGTTTTAAATCAGTTTTTAAAAGTCCTGACAAACTGTGAGAGAAATGCCCTTGAAATATGAACCGTTGCTCTGTCGGCTCAATGAATGTGGAGGACAGACAGGGTGAGCCCACTTGTTGCTGGCTGGAAACGGCCCATTAGTTCAACCTGCATCGACTGTGGCTCATCCATGTTTATCTGCCTTAAATCAGAGCAGAACCTACACAACGTTGGCTCAGTGTCCTCACTTATACAACGATTATTTACACTCAGAGAGAGGATGTGGGTCATGTGAACAACAGATTGACATGCAACAGATAAATGTGAGTGTCGTCTCTGTGCTGATTCAAAAGCCGTTGGGACTTTAAGCATTGCAAGAAGTGAAGACGTTATGAATTGCTTACAGATTCTCAGTTGAGGTTAGGTCTGAACTTTGACTGGGCCAGTCTAATGTCATTGGATTTCAATCTAAAGGCTTACACATATTCAGGTGTTTGGCTACATCTCTTGTGACAATTTACTCCGTTTCCCACAATCCCTAGCAAGCTTGCTGAGCCAGCCTCGTTTCTTCTGAACATGTGGGACCTGCAGAGCATTTTGTCCCACATGTTTGCTTCGCATCCCACGCAGTTTGTGCCCAATGGGAAGGACTTCTTCTAAATCAATATTTGGTATCAATCTCCTTTGCATTCTTCCATGAAAGCCAGATTTCTAGACCTCTGGTCTAGAACTGATTCTCGTTCTGCTCTGAATCACCAGAACCAAACAGGGGGAGGCGCCATTCAGCTTCTATGCACCACAAATCTGGAACAAACTTCAAGAAAACTGAAAAACAGCTCAAACACGGAGTTCCTTTAGATCAATATTAAAACCCCCAACTGTTTAGAGTTGGTTTTATTCAAACAACTGGAAAAACCATATGGAAATATTTAGTAAGATTTTGTGTTGTTTGCAGTGTAGTACCAGTTGTACTGGATGTTATTTAGGTGCATCAGAGTAAAGAATAAAACCTAGAAAACCATAAATTCCCAATGAAATGAAGTGAAGTTTGTGGTTTCTAATGATGCAAAAAGGTTTAAGGAACAGGATTAGTTTCTCACAGCAGTCCAGTGTTAACCTGCACCAGTCGCTGTTGGTGTGCGGATCTCGGTCCTGAACTCTTTCTCTCTTTCTCTCTCCGAGTTCATCTGAGTTGCACTCACCGAACCGAAATGCCACGACTATCATTCCCATTCCTAATGAAACTGTGAATTAGCGCGAGAACATGTGTTGCTGTGTTTGTGTGAAATCATGAAGGTCACCGGTGGTTGTTTACTCTCTCAGTACCAAAGCTGAGGGCCCGCCGCAGATGGAGCCCTTCATTAGACGTGACACTTTAATGCCGAGGGCGGCCCTTTCTGTTCCTTACTGCTGGCTGAGTGTGAGGAAGAGGGGCAGAGTGCAAACAAGCAAAGACCCTCAGCTGGAACAAGCACTGCAGAACTCATGCGTTCAGGATTACAGGCGCCAGATTTTAATTTCCAAACTGATTTTGGGGAAACTATCAGGATTTCAGAGTTAATCATCTTCCACAGTCGTAACGCTGGAAGAGAGAACGAAGTAAGTGTCATGAAATAAAATAAACATTCCTCTTTATGACCAAACTTTGAAGTAGGTGGGCTCATTGCCACAGATATCACCTAAGAAAGTGCGTGTGCCACACAAGCTCCTGGCTATGCATTCCAGGACCGAGGGGGATTTATGTCAGCAGGCTAATAACAAAACAAGCGCGGAGGAAGAGCACTCCAGGAGCGGAGGAGCCGTAATCTCATAGAAAAGTGTTTAATCTCAGGGAGGGGAGGTAATCTGCTGAGACGGGCTCACAGAGGCAGCCCATTTATGCAGCAAGACTGTTGCTATTTTAGTGAGGTGCCACCCTGCATGATGTATTAATCCTGCTTGTCTGGGTGTGTTTGAGTGTGTGTGTGCCGTTCAGGTTCGTAGGAGAAATAGAAACAGAGCTCCATACTGGAGGATGCTAGCAGCGAAGGTGTCTGGGTCTGTGAGGAAGGTGATGAGGGAAAGATGAAGAAAACCAGAACCAGGGGCGATATTCTGTTTTCCAGGCACAGTGTCATTATGTAACGCAATCAAGTAGCTACATTACGTGCAAATCTTTAAAATATGCTGTACATATCAAACATGACTTAAAAGAAATTTGACTTCATAATTTAATATCTTGAAATTGGGCCTCTGTCTCTTTAAGAAGCTCCTGCTCTGTCTGAAACTCAGCCTTCAGGAAGTCATCGCAACATGACTCCTCCATTGACCCTTTGACAAAATTTTTACCAGCATTTCACTGAGAGGTAGTTTGTATGATAAGCTCAGCAGATGCGCAGTTCCACTAGGTGTTTGCTGATTGCTGCTGACTAGTCTGAAGGGACTGAGTGAAGGAGAAATGGGGGAGGGCTGCTTTGAGAGGCAGTAAATTGGAAACTGCTAGGTCCACCCAGGTGGCCCTCCACTATAATTAGCAGTGGGGATGATGAGCTTTTCCATGACATTTCATGCTAAAGCTTTTTTTTTTTTTTTTTTTGCACACCAGTCCAACATGTAAGCTCAAACTACGTCTCATTTGACCAAAGTTCAGGTTTCAAGTGCTTACAAGCGTCTACTGGGAATAGATGTATAACATCTATGTTGCCTTTTTGTGAAATGAAAATGTATTGGAAGGCTTTTTACATGTCCCTGCCAAGGGTGTTAATAAATATGGATGTTGGAAGGCTTATGGTAAATACATTAAAGATTAGGACAAATAAAATGGCATGTGGTGGGAAAGAGAGGGAAAGAGTGGCACGGAAATGTCTCTGAGAAACAGAGGAAGCCAAAAACCCAAACGAAAATAGAAGCACAATGAAATAAAAGAGAAAAGTGACACAATTAGAAACAGTCAAAACGAGCAAAAACAAAAGTTTAAGCCACGGTGAAAAGAAATCTTGTTCCTTTTATGAGCAAACATCTCATTACTGCCTCATAAAGAAAAAATAATAATCCAGAGCAATAAGTACACTTTCATCTAAAGATGGCAGCTTATGACCAATGAGTGTCATTACTAACTCTAATGAAAATCTATCCTTCCCCTAACAGAACTTTTCCACTGCATTTCCATGTTTCATGATCAATATTCCTTTTCACTCACATTATGGTTCCACCTCCAGGGCAAACACACAGAAACACACAGTCTTCTGGCATTACGCCGCTCGTGTTGGAGCAGCTTCTGTTACGTTGATTCTGATTTATTCTTTTTGTAGACTTTTGTTCCTTTTTTTGGTTGAGGCGTTGCATGATCGGACAATCATTTCCTCTGGTTTTGGATGCTGTGTTGCTGGAAGGATTTCTTGCTCTTACTTTCCTACTTTTGTACCATGTGTAACCATGGCAACAAGGTATTGTTTTTACAACTGGGAACAGCGAGACAGCTCAGGGTGTTTTCACACCTGATATTCTGTTAGACTTGATACGTTTGGAGACCAAAGTTGCAACATTTGTTCCATTTTCAGATGTTGTGGTTCATTTTCACGCTGCTCGGTGTCAAACCAACCAAACCCTTTGATAAACTTGTTCCACAATAGGGTGACAGCTGAGGTCAACCTTTGGGTAATGATCTACATGCGCAATGGAAGGGTTGCTCAATGGATTCCCAAAATCCCCCGACTTTAACCCTGTGAAAATGTGCAAACTACGCTTAAAAGCCTGAGATCTGGTATAAAACCCATGAAGTTAATTAACTCTACCTCTTCTCTGTCAAGAAGAAGGTGTTGATAGTTATAAAAAGCCTATCTGGAGATGCACCGTGCTAAGGGATATTTCAGAAAGTATTATGTAGATAATTAAACTTATGCTTGAGTTTGTATGTAGAAATTTGACCCAGTTGGGTCAAACTGAAATTCAAGTTTCAGTTAGAGAACTTGAAGCTTGAGCCTGCAGTTCTTGGTATTGTATGTTGTATTGTTATTCCATCTTAGGCAAAGAAGGAATGCCTAAAATATTTGTGACATTTCACCCCTAAGATGAGTGAGCAGAACCAGTCACAGAACTGGTCACACAGCAAACAGGAGCTTTCCAGACACATTTCCTCACCTGGAGTTGAGGTCAGTCTGAGGTATCCCCGCCCCTCCTCCACTTCCTCCTCGGGTTTTCTCCAGAGCCAGTTTGGTGAAGATGCCCACCAACACCATGACAGCGACAACGCCACAAATGATGTAAACGATGAGGTGCGTCCGATCGCGGTCTGAATCCCCCTGGCCTTCAGTGATGGTGGCCACAGGCTTCCCGGTGTTGGCCCAGATGGGCGTGTCGTAGTTGGAGCAGATGGTCTGGTCCAGCCTCTGCTGACGGAACTGGCAGCAGAAGCGGTAAAAGCAGGTGCCGCAGCAGTACAGGAAGACCCCAGCATTGCAGTTGAACGGTGGGTCCCACTGGCCCATGACGTCGTAGTAACCCTGGCAACGGGTCCCTCCAACCGGGGGGACGTCCTCGTCGTCGGCGTCGCCACCGCTGGTGGGGGTGGAGAGCCCCGTCTCCAGAGGTGTGCCCTGGGTTACGTCCTCCAAGCTGGGCGCTGTCTGGTTAGACAGTTTGGTGGAGGTCAACGCAGGGTCGCCCTCGGTTACTGTCGCCGTGGAGAAGGAAGTGTCCTGGGTGAGCGCTGGCCGGCTGACCAGGAAAGAAAGGAAGAAGAAGAGAAAAGGGTGGCAGGAGGAAGGGCTGGTGGCCGCCATGCTTCTCACAGTTTCCGTCTCCAGTGTCCCACCTTCAGGCAACCGGAGGGGGACATTTCAGACACAGAGTGTTGGGACAAAACAAAGGTCACACACAGGAAAGCTACATTTAGATGCACTGATACATAAAATGTCAAGACAATTTTTTTGTGTTTCATAATGAACCGGACAAAGCTGAAAAAAATTGGGCATAATGTTGCTGACCCCTGGTAGGACTGTCTTGAAATCAGAAATTGGTTCTGATTTCAGGACCAATTTCTGAAATCATAAATTTCAGAAATGCTTATTTTCTGTGCCAGAAAATAAGCATTTCTGACCCAGCATTTAGTCTGACCCAGCATTTAGTCTGGTCCAGCATTTAGTCTGACCCAGCATTTAGTCTGACCCAGCATTTAGTCTGGTCCAGCATTTAGTCTGACCCAGCATTTAGTCTGGCCCAGCATTTAGTCTGGTCCAGCATTTAGTCTGACCCAGCATTTAGTCTGGTCCAGCATTTAGTATGGCCCAGCATTTAGTCTGGTCCAGCGTTTAGCAGCTCAGCGTTTCTATCCTGCATCAAACCAATTGCTAAATAATAAACATGTCAGGTGTTGTCATGACAACATCACTTGATCCAACCTTTTCTAGCATCCCACACCACAAGTAAAAAAAGTACTTATGATTTTGCTGATATTGTATCGGGTCAATATCGATATCGTCCAATACTCAATGTTGTAATTTCAGTCTTGAAATGTTGTAACTTTTTCACTAGCGGTAGTGAAAAAGTTGTGTTGGGTCACCCCAGTCTAGTACCACTGCCTGTCACCATTTTATGCACTGCACTATTTTGTAGCATAAGGTAATTTTCATCTTGCATTATAAATGGCGGTAGCCTGCCCAATCACAGTCAGTCCTGCTGTTAATTCAATAAAGTCAGCTTTGCGACCCTTTTCTGGTTGCCTCTGACACTGTCAGGCAACCAGACCCATCATGTAAGATGCAGGACTGAACACCAAAAAATGAAAAACTGTCTTTTTGTTGGATGTCATTTTGCAGCAGAAAGTGGTTCTAAAACTGACCTTAAAATAAAGGTATTTGCATCATGTTTAAGGAATCGGTGAAACATTGAGGATAGAGAGCGTTTTAAACCAAGTGCTGATTCAAGAAAATCATTCCACTTTTATATTACTAAAGAAAAAGTCAGTAATCACATCCAGGAAACCAGGGTAACCAATTCTTTTTTTCTTTATAAAGTGAAAATTTCAGAGGGGGTTCTTAATGAGCAGTGAAACAAACACAATGAATATTTCTTACCTTTTCTGTCTTTACAGTCAACTCCCTCCACAAGTTTGAGGGAATGAATTCAGTGATATCCACAAAGTTCACTCAGCAGCATCACTCCTCATATTCCTGCAGTTGCTCATGTGTTCTCCATGGCAGCTGGACGCTTATTGTGTGCAAAACGTTGCACTCCTCTGATCCCTGTCGCTCTTTCTGATTCTTGCCTTCTCTCCTTCTGTAAATGCTTCCGAGTTGCAAGTCCAGTCCAAGATTTTTTGTTTTGTTTTTGTCTCCTTGGTGCGTCTAAATGACCAAGATTCAAGAGAGAGTGAGCGGCAGCACAGAGCGCTGCAACAGTTCAGGAACTAAATGAGATCTCCCCTTCTGTTTACCTCTCCGCAGAGTTAGATAGACATGAAGGGGGGAGAGAAAGAGAGAAAAAAGAGAGAGAGAGAGAGGGAGAAAGAGAGAGAGGAAGCACGTGTTTCTGTATCTGAATGTGAGTGTAGAGGGGGGCATAACATCCAGCTGCATCTCCCATCATACCCACAGGAAAAAAGCCTGGAAGGAGGGAGGAAGGAAGAAAAAAGGAAAAAATGGAGGGAAAAACTAAGATGTTCTCTGAAAGACAGTAATTAGTCAGGACTCCTGATTTTTTTTCCATCTTGTTTGTTTTATACCCTGAGAAGGGATTTATTTTTTGGACACGACATTCACCAAAAATATTAGCATTATGCATTTTGTAGTCAAAAAAAAAATGCTTTGAAAAAATATTCCTGTGTTTTCCTGACTTCAGAGCCAATTATTTCCTCAAAGTGTGAATGTTGAACATGGCTGCTATGTGCCATAACATCTGGCAGCATTTCAGAATCAGAACGACACATCAACGCTCAGAGGTGCTGGTGGACCTGTGGGGGTGCCGGGCGGCTTCTCTACTTCAGCCGTAACCAGCAGAATCATGAATTCTCTTTCCCAGAAGACGATTCAAGCGGACTTCAATGTGACAGAGAAACTGTGGCGCGACCTTCCAGGTGCTGATCATGCCCGTTCGTTTCACGCCTGTCCAGGGTGGTTTGGATAGCCTCAGTAAATAAAATGATCATCTGAAAAACTCATGTCCTTTTGACAATCTGAGCATTATCAAAAGTGCAATTAGAGTGTAAAAGAAAAACTGAAAGAGGGAGAAGTACTATTTCACAGCACGGTACAGATATAGTTCCTATTAAAGGTATTCACCACCTAAGATGTTCTATCTTCTTTACTGATTATGAAAATGAGTCATGACCAACCATTTTCTTTTACAAATTAACTTACAAAAAACTCGAATGTCACATTAAAAACCGATTTCCACAAAACGATAAAAATCATATGCAAATATTTGACATAAAATTGAATATATTTTCACCCCCCTTAAAGTAACTCACTTCATTCGACAGAGGTCCTGCCAGTCGGTGCTCCTGGTCTCAGTCTGAGGTGAGTTTAGTGCGGTGAGTGCGTCTCAAGCGACTGTAGCGTGACAACATCTATATCTGAAAGATCCATTCACTGGTTCATCAGTATCCCTAGTTGTCATTACAGCATGAAGACTAAAGAACAATCCAAGCAAATCAAAGAAAATGTTATTGAAAAGTATAAGTCAGGGTTTGGATATAAAAAAAAAAAAATCTCTGAGGCACTGACGTACCTAAATGTGTTAGAAACGTTGTCATTGTCCTCAAAGTATTTGTTCTAGCCAGATTTGGACAGGGCTTTTGGACTACAAAAGTCAAATGTTTTATTTATCTACTTATTTTTTGATTAAGTAAACATAAAGAGTTTCCAACGTATAATGGCTATAAAAACAACATCCAGCGTTACAAGGGTTGGATGCTGAGTTAGCTCTTAGAAAAAAAGAAGGGCAGCATGGTTGAATAGCTTGATGCTACACGGACCGCTAAATTGCCTAATTGGGTAGCTGGAGATATATGCGATCAGGTTTTATAACCCAACACTCTTGTATTCTACAGGAAGGTGCAGTCCTGTATGTTTAGCTCCACTGGACTATTGATTTTATATTTCTGGCCTCCTCATAAAAACCTGAAGATAAAAATAATAATATTTACGTTGACGGTGAGGTGTTCAGTCCAACTCAATTCACAGTTTCTATTTTTAAATGAAAATGCCTTTGGAGAATATCTCACAATCCTCTGGACTCAAAAGCAAAGGTGAAGAGATGCTGCAAGGTCATGGTCATGCTTTGGCCATCCTCAATGAAGCAAAGTTTGTGCAATTTTATGAATGTGTGTGTGTGTAGCCAGGTTTTTATATCATTGTGGGGACATATTTCTGTCTACATTGTGGGGTTGTGGGAACAAATCCTGGTTCCCATGAGGGGAAATGCTGTTTTTGGGTTAGGGTTAGGTATGTGATCGTTCAGGGTGGGGTAAGGGTTAGGCTGTAGAAAGTGAAGGGTAGTTTACGTAAAGTCCCCACAAGATGTGAAAACACAACTGTGCATGTGTGTGTGTGTGAGACATTTCTGCATCTGCAGGGCTCACAGAGGACAGTCAACATCTGCTATAGTCACCCCTGCTCATCATGTACGAATCACTTCCATAATCGCTCACACACTCTCCTATTTCCCCATCAGATTTCTCATCTCTTGCAGCAGCGTGTCTTCCTCCAGCCCTACCCTCATTGTTGCCTGTATAAATATAAATGTGTGTGTGTTCTCTATAAGCCTCTTTTTTCTTTTTGTCAAAAAGATTCAGGAGTCAGCAGGGTCCAGCTCCAGCTTTCCGTGGTCTTTTGTCTAAGTGGAAACTTGCACAGCAGGTGCCAAAAAGCAGGAGCGGAGACAGGCAGCCAGCGCTGAAGGAACTCACAAACACCTGCAGCTCCACACATTCATTACGAAAAAATAAGCACACATGTGAAAAACAATGTGTGCTGTAATTAAACTATAGCTTTTATGTTTCTGCACTGCATTCACTCACAGAACCATAAATGCCACTGCTGAGGGCAATTATTGAGGCTTACTTTCTCAAAGTAAACCACCACTTGTGCAGTTTTCAGTGGAATTATAAGTCAGATTGACAAGAGGGGTTTTTGTTTTGCCTTACACTAATCTCCTCTCCCAAAACGCTCCAGTTTGTGTGCGAAGGAGCAAACTTTACTCGTCTTCCAGTGTTCTCTGTGTTGCATTCTAGACGACGGACCCAGAGAGAGCAATAACTGTGCGTAATAAGAGGGGGAAAAGAATAGAGGTTTATGTGGGGCAGCAGGGAGGAGGCTGACAGTCGAAAAAAGAAAAGAAGGAAAGGATACAGAGAATGAGATGAGGAGGATGGTAGAAAGTAGGAAGAATGGTGAGTGGGAAAGGCTTGGCAGAAGACCAAAGAGGAAAGAGCAACTTTGAAAAAAAGGAGAGAAATTTGAATTTATAGCAGGAGGAAGAGGGGAGAGATTAAAAAACACTTTATAACCAGAGAAGTAGGATGGTGGGAAAAGATGGATTTATTAGGCCATTAGAGTAGTCATGGAGGTAGATAAGTAAAAGTAGGTAGGTAGAGAAAGCTATGTAGAAATAGGTAGCTTAAGTAAATGTATGTAGGTAAAGGTAGATAGATAGAAGTTGGTAGAAGTAGGTAAAAAGAGGTATGTAGAGGTAGAGGTAGGTAGAGATGTAGTTAGAGAAAGGTAGGTCTGTTGCAAAATGGAAACTACAAACCAAACCAATCCACAAAGGGATGCATAGCCCCTCCAGTCAGCTCCTGGTCTGATCCAGGGTCTGCTCAAGGTGCAGATGTTTATAATACATCCAGATTCCCAGTCGTGTTATTCCGAGCTCATCCTGAATGTTCAGAGTACACTTCCTCACCCCATCTCTAAAGGTGGACCCAGCTACCCTATATGACACAAGCTCTTTCAATTACTTGTGGCGGATCTGTGTTCCTTTGTTTATGACCCATATCTCTTGACCATTTGTGAGGGTCAGGACATAAGTGGAAAATTAGGTTCAGAGCTTGACTCAGCTTTTTCTTCACCACAACAGTGTAAACATTGCTTCCCCCAATTTATCTTAACGTCAATCATGAACACATCAGCGTACCTGGTACAATTAACTTCAAGCAAAGACTGAACTAAAACCTGAAGAGAGGTCAATCTCTTTCTAGTTAAGCTTGATAGCTTCACCTCTCTGTAGAATCAGAGGTTGGAGGGCGTTTCGGAAGTTTACATATTCTCATTATCCTGAGGGCTATGCTGTCCCTGCAAGGTCCTTACAATGTAAATGAACTTCAGGGAAAGGGTTCGGGTTCTGTCTAAGAGCAACTAAACCATATCTCATTTCATTAAACCACTAAACGATCAGTAACAACCAGGTAGTATTCTCACCTTGAGTAGAAACTTCACTATCAGTGACAGTTTATCTCAAAGTGAGAGCACAGTGTGTCAAAAACAAGTTTGTGGTTTGCTGGAAGCTATTGCAACTACCGTCAGATATAAACTCAGCTGTGCATTTTTTCATTTGAAATGTATCTTTAAGCCTTCATTCTGCTGAAGCTGCTGTCTGTCGTGAAGACATGAAAGAGCTTCCAGAGTTCTCCGAAGCATAAGTGCCGTGATCAGAGGGAACTCCTTCATTGAGTTGATCCAGGAGATGCTTTGATGCTGCTCAGCATCAGGTGAAATAGAAGACAGGAGGTGTGATGGGAAGTTACCCTTTAACTTTGGCAATGGGTAGATGATTTCTCCCGGTAGGCATGAGTAGAAAAACGGGTTGTAATGCTGCCTTCATCATGCTGCTAAGTCCTAAGTTTAAATCTGAGTTAGGTTATAAAATAACATCTCTTGTTTCAGAACTCTATAAAAACAAAGAGTACAACACAGCTGACAAGGCAAGCCAAGGAGAGTATTATTTACAGAAGTACTCAAATGGATCATGGTAACTGTGGAGAAACTGCAGAGATCTATACTCAGATTGGTCAAATGGTTACTATCAGTCCTGCATGTCTGATCTATATGGATCATGGACATAAAAACTCTGAAAATACAGCAAGAGCTACAGCTCAAGGACTTAGGTTAAATTCATGTGTTAGACTGGCCTACTTAAAGTTCAGACCTGGATTTCATCAGAGAATCTTGTCTGACTAACCAGGAGCAATTCTAAAAAATTTTAGACTCCAGATGTGCAAAGCTGGTGTAGACTAAACACCAAAAGACTAAGAGCAGTAACTGCAGTGAAAGCTACTTCTGCAGTGTATTGACATCATGAATCCATACTGTATGCATACATGGATAGTGTATAAAACCTCAGATGTATCAAAAATCAGGAACAGCCAACACAAATGTTGAGGACAATTTGACCAAATAACCATGAAAAGGCCCATTTGTCTTTCTGCTAAGTTCATCAATAA